AGCCAGCCCCGCCCCCTGGTGGGCTGAGCTGGCCACACACACACACACACACACACACAAATAAATAAAATTAAAAATAAAATAAAATAAAGTAATATTAAAGGAGAATCAGCAGTAGCAGCGAACATACACGGCATGTACAACTAAAACTATTTACTCCTAGTGCATTACAGAAGTTTCCTGACCACTTACATATGGCATTTCTTAGGTAGAAAGATTACAAGCTCTCAAGTTCTTAAAAAAAGGCCTTCCAGCCCACCCCTAAAATGTTTAAGAATCACTGCAAGAGAGCTCTTTTCTAATATTGTTACTCTAATTAATGTAACCCCTACATTTTGCTGCAAAGTAATGGTAGAATCTTGAATAAAATAACTAGAATTCACTGTATTTATTCTACATTTTGTCACTTACAATGACTTAGCAAAGTTAACAGTCTCAAAAGACATTCAAATTGTTGAGAATCAATTTGTCAAATTCAAACACATTAATGTCTTCTTACCTGAAGTCCTTTTACAAAGTTTTGAATTGAGAAATCATGATATAAAAAGATGTTGGTCAGAACTTGTAATACTTTTTCACTTATTTTAAAGGGAAACTGAGTTGTAAGAAGTAGCTGAAAGAGATTAAGGACAGGAAGGTAGACATTCTTTGTTACTCTTGACTATTCATCAATATTAAATATAAATATTGAGACAAAGAATGGTGCTATGTCATAGTAAATATGAAATAACTAACTTTTCACACATCAAATAATCAGCCAAAATTTTAACTGAATTTATTTTAGAAACAACAAAAAAGAAGCAATTTGTATTATATCCCCAGAACCAAAGATGTCCAACATCCTTCATCTAACTTCTAATTTTTAAAAACACTACCTATGAACTATATAAAGTTCTTTTCTTCATACCAAGAACCACTAATCAATCTACACTTTTGATAATTCTTGTGACAAGATATCTTTTTCATCCCTACTGAGTCAAATTAGTGAAGAATAACAGATTATGAACTTAGCTGAAAAAGAAACAAAAAATAATTTTTGCTTTAAAATTTTAGAATATCTAAATTTAAATTATTCAGTTAATGTTCAGTGTCTTATGGTAATGTTCTACACCTGAAAATGAAACAGTCATACAATGCCCTCTAGGAAGGGGAATCAAATCCAGACAGCACTGAACTGTACCCTCAATCCTTTTCACAAAATTCTATTTTGAGAAAGGGTTTCATTAGGTTGGCCCTGAATCTGACTCTCCTGCCTCCACCTCTCTAGTAGCTGCTATTACAAGCATGTGGTACTACTCTAGCTCAGACCAGGTTTCCTAAAACAATAAAAAGCATGACAGAAGGCAACTAAATTTGACTGTGTCCATAAAATGCTAAATATTATAGGTGAAACAATTTTCCCAAGGCCGGCCAAATAGCTCAGCAGATTAAAGCACCTGTAAGCAGATGGCAGGGGCCAGGGGTTCGATTCCTGGGGTCTGCCATGCTGACCCTGCCCAGGCAGGCCCCACCCATGGGGTGCACGAGAGGGCAATTGAGTCTGGGCATGGTGGCATACGCCTGCAATCCCAGCTCTTGGAAGGCTGTAAACAAGCAGATCACTATGAGTCCAATCTAGTAGTGAGACCCTGAACACCCTGTAGACCCTTCCCTAAAATATAAAAAAAAAAAAAAAGAAAAAGGAATAAAAATATACATATATCAATTTTCCCTAAAGGGTCAATAGATTAGGTGAATAACACAAAAAAGTGGACAAGTGATTAGTAAATAAATAAATAGGGCCCAGAGTTTACCTTATACAACTAACGTAAGTACAGTTTAGGGCTGGGGATATACACTATAGGCACAGCACCTGACTGGTAAACACAAGGTCCAGAGTTTGATTAGTGGTTAAAAAAACCCAAAAAACATACAAGCAAAAAAAGTATCAAAGAGTATCAGAAAAATATGTAGAAATTCAACGCTAAATTTGTGGAAGTTCAACGTATTTTGCCAGGCAAGGTGGCTCGCACCTGTAATCCTAGGATTGAAGGAGGCTGAGTGGGGAGGATTACAACTTTGAAGTCAAGCTTGGGCAAAGTGAGTTCCTGTTCTCAAAATTAAATGAAGAACAGATGGACAGGCGGATGGGTGGACTGGGAGTGGTACATCATCAATAAAAGAATTTCAGGCCAGGGAGATGGCTCAGTGGAATAAGCGCCTCCCTGGCAAGTGCCAAGGGCCTGAGTTCAATCCCCGGTTCTGCCAATAAAAGAATTGCATTTTTTAGATGGAAATATTATAGTAACTAAAGTCTGAGAAATTTTTAGCACTGTCAAGAGCAGCATGACAGTTAAGATTCCATTACAAACTTCAAATCACTTTATACAAAATTTAAGATCAAAATACACTTACACTGTTACTTGAAAGTCTACAAATTCTATGAAAATTTATTTTAAGTCTTTAATTTTCCACTGAGTAATAAAACAAATACATAGATACAATTCTTTTCATGAAGCTTCTATTTTACCTGAAGAGACAATTCTATAAACTCACCCTAAGCCTAATAACACAAAAAGATTAAAATATGTAAAGGAATACAGTTATTATAATACTCTAAAAAATAGAGGTTTATCATTAACATTTTGATGAAGAATCTATTCCAGGTGGTCTTATTTTCACCCTAGGTCCCTGCTAACACTTTCTTCTCTCTTTACCTTGTCAAGCACTGTGGACAGGTGCTCTTTGCAAGACAGAGACTGGAACAACTCTATACACAACAGAGACGAGACCGCATGAGGAAGCAGCCGGTGGATGATAATAGGAGATGTGGCGATTCCAAAAACCAGTATCAGTGGAAATTCATGTAGATGTTCACTAGTTTTCAAAAAAAGACACAAAAGGTGAAATCTAGCAAATATATTTCAATACAAACTTCAAGATACAGCCAGCTTCATTTTAACGTCTATCAGAGAAGACTGCTAATGAGCTCATTAAAAATTAAACATTTTTAGGTCATTCATTTTCTTGTTAAAGTAATTAAATGCTTATTATTTCTTGTTCTGTTCTGAAATCAATTTATTATTGTATTTTTCCCCAATTTTACTTAATCTCAGATTTTTTTTTTTTTTACAGCAGTAGGGAATGAACACAGGGCTTTTGCACTGAGATACATCTAGGGAGAAAGGTACTCTTCTGTTAAAGGGGATATTTACAGTAATTCTATTTTATATGAATCTCTATTTTTCTGTAGAATCCTATTTTTATAAAATGTGCGAAAGATTTTACCATTCCTTAGGAAGACAACTAAACACAAAGGGCCACATGCCAGTCTACCTGCCTTAAATTTTATGTGTAACAAAGAAACTCCTGAGTCACAGGATCTTATTCTGCCCTGCAACTGGGACAATTTAAGAACCAGCCAACTGTGAGGCCCTGTCCCCTACCAAGTGAGCATGGCATAGTGCCAACAGTGCAGGAAGTAAAAGCCCAGCAGATTACTTGTGTGCTGGCAGGCATTGTTTAGCTCAGCTACGTACCCTTCTGCAGAAGTAAAGTCTTGCTGAGATATTTCCAGGGCATGTTTCTTTATTCTATGGTAACATCAGAAATTTTCTGTCTGACAATCTCCATCCATTTTTTTGTTTTTATTTTGATACTATGTCTGCCTAACTCAGCAAGTTGCCCACACTAGGCTCAAACTTGCAACCTTCTTGCCTCAGCCTCCCAGAGTTTACAGGGCATATGTCTGTGTCCTTTCATTTTATAAACAGAAATAGAGATTCTGAAAGGTCAAGTACATTCCTTAAGGGTATGCAATCTTAACTGTTCTAAAATGTGTTAGATAACATTCAATTAACTTATCATCCAAAGTCTGACCTACAGCAGCCCTCATAATTGGCCATCCAGTCCATGCTTCCAGTTTAGCAACATGAAGCTCATTAATTTTCAAAGGAGTGTATTCTATCTATAAGTCATTTGTGATAGACACCATGTTATCCAGCCATAACAGCCAAGAGTTAGAAAATTGCTTACACATATGTAAAACATTTATGTGTGTGACAAATACAAGCATACAAGATAGACAGAGACAGAGAGATGGAGACAGAGACAGCCAGCCAGAGACAGAGACCGAGAGGCAGACAGGGTTTCTCTAAGTTGCTAAATAATCTAGGCTGGGCTTGAAATCGTGACCTACTACTTGCCTCCCATAATAGTGGGATTGCAAGCATTTATTACTACACCCTGTTATGTCTTTTTAATGTACATCATTAAAAAATGTCATATACCTTCTTGCATTCTTACCCTAAGTATCTTTAACACAAAAAATTTCTATTATAAAATACAATAGTACTATTTTTGAAGGCTACTGCAAGTCAGTCATCTGTATCTTGGTAAATGATTTTTTTTTCTGTTCTTTTCCTTTTCTGTAGTATTTCAGCTGCTTGCAGTTCTATCTACATAGGTATAAAGCCCCTATATTCTCTTACTGTTTTAAGTCCTTTTTAATTTTTGATGGTTGTAGTCCCAAATCTTAGCCCCTAAAAATACAGAGTTTTTGTTTTTGCTTTCTTTGGTCACTTACACTGTACTAAGCACTTTCCCACTCCATGAGTAGGTCAATGTTAGCATTAAGACAAGCCCTAGGGCAGGGTGGGCCTGGAGTGTGGCTATAGGAGGACTTCCCTTGTTCAGAAGGCCTTGGGTTCAGTTCCCTGGGCAGGTCCTCCCCACATACTCCCCCCCTCCAAAAAAAAAAAAAAACATGTAAAAAAGTCTTAGGATCTAGAACTGTGAGTTCATGGGGGGGGGGGGACACAACTTATGCTGTAAAAATAAGAATTTTTAGTATGTTAGTAAATTATAATTCAACACAGCTTTAAGCAACTCTAGCTGTAATTAAGAAGGCAAGCTGACATACAGGAGATGCCAATGTACATTCATTACATTCCAAAAGATAATACCACAGGAAATGCATTTGATACAATTCTAAAATATGGTTATTTTAATTCTGACTCCTTCCAGGATCCTGGGAAATTGTGAAAAGTTTCTCTCTAAAAATACTATACAAACATGATGTTATTTAGAAAATATTCTTAAAGAAAAAAAGAGAAAGAAAAAATATTTTTGATTAAGTAAAGCTATATGCAACCTTGAGTCTCTTTTGTATCAAAAAATAAGGTCTGGGGCCGACCAGATAACACAACGAATTAAAGCGCCTGCTTAGGTAAATGCGAGGGCCTGGGGTTCCATCTCCAGCCTGCCACGGCGGCTCCACCCCCAGGGTGCACTGAGAAGGTGATTGAGAATGGGCGGCGTGGTGGCGCGAGCCTGTAATCCCAGCACTTGGGAGGCTGTAAACAGGAGGATCACTATGAGTCTGATTTGGTTAGTGAGACCCTGTACTAAAAAAAAATAAAATAAAGGCCAATGAAAGCATCTAAACCTGTGATATTTACTCATTTAATGTGCAGCGAGACAGACAACTTTGATGAGATAAAATAATTTTACAGTACATGATCATGTTAATTAAAAACAGACCAACACTGTGGGAAGCTTGGGCCAAAGGACTCCAAGTTCAAGTCTAAGCAGTACATGGAACTTAGTGACTTAGTGAGGTCTTATCTCAAAATACAGAAAAGGAGCTGGGAAGGTAGCTCTGTATGAAGGCCCCAAGCTCCATCTCCAGTACTAGGTGGTGGGGAGTTGGAGGGTGGGAGTGGGAAGTGAGGAACAGGTTAAGTGACTTTCTCACTCTTCAATCAAAACACAAATGAAAAAGCTGATAGGATGTCTCTGAACATTCAAGTACAAAGGACTTATCACAGTGTGAATCCCATAAAATTAGCCTTAAAATGATTATACTTTTTAAGTGAAAAGTAATGTTTTCTTAACACAAAAAGAATTTTGCGTAAAAGCCCAATGGCACACCATATACCTGGTGACAGTTATGAAGTCTTGAAGTACTTTTGTGGTGAAGCTCTCCATATCCTTTAATATTAGCACAACAGGAGGAGACTGCCATTGACTAGAAGTATTCCTCATTTTGCTTGGCATTTTTGGATCTGTCTTCTTATAAGTCATTGAGGAAAGAAGGAGTTAAAAGTAAACCTCACCACCAAACAAGACTATAATGCTATCGCATATTGATTTATTTCCCTTTATATTTCACAATGAGAGTTTATTTTTCCACATAGTAAAAGAAATCCACTCCAACAGTTACTAGTGGAACCTTTCTGTGTCAGACATGAGATTAATAAGAAAAAGACTCAGCAACATCTGTAACTCATGGAATATTTGTATTTTCTGCAGAGAAAATGACAAGAAAAACACAGGAAAAGAATTTCTACAAAACTGAATTTTCTGTTGGTAGAATGTTAGTATTTTTAATGAAAAAGCATAACAAACATGTTACTTGCTGCTCTGCTACGGTGACATTAAAGCTTGAAAAGGGCCCTAAGTGTCATCTGGTTCAATGTAGATAACTGGAAGTACTATTTGATTTCTAGAAAATCAGAAACTGTTGATCAAACGAAAGTATTTTGCTAAGCATTATACAATTTGTCTATATAAAGGAAAACTACTTATGTTGACTTCAGCAAAAATATTGACTGGAAAATGTCATCACAGTAGTTTTTGCCCATACTGTCTACAGACAGCATTATAAATTAAGGTTGTAGTTTTACTGTGCAGTTACATAGGAATCATCCATTTTCATCAAATTGTCTAAGTAAAATTTAACTCTGGGCATTTATTTGTCAAATATATTTTACTTAAAGACCTGATTCTGCAAGAACTCTAAGAATGGAACAATTACATTTTAAAAAATAACACGAGGGCCGGCCTGATAGCTCAGCAGACTAAAGAGACAGCAGCCGGGGTTCAAACTCTGGCGTGCCATGCCAGCCCCACCTGCGGGGTGCACTGAGACAGCAACTGAGACTGGTCATGATGGCATGCACCTGTAATCCCAGTGCTTGGGAGGCTTGAAAACAGGAGAAGTGGGCCGGGGAGATGGCTCAGTGGAATAAGCGCTTCCCTGGCAAGCGCAAGGGCCTGAGTTCAATCCCCGGTTCCGCAAAAAAAAAAAAAAAAAGAAAAGAAAACAGGAGAAACACTACGAGTCTGATCTACGTAGTGACGTAGTGAAACCCTGTAGACCCTGTCCTAAATACAAAATAAATAAATAAATAAATAAACAACACACAATCATTCACCACAGGACTGAGTTGACAGTGGGACCTGGTAGTGTGGTTTTACTGCACAAAAACAAATACTGAAGAATGTAAGAGGTAATTATTAAAATTATAGCTGTTGCTAGAGATAAAATCTAAAGCAGAACTCCTGACACTTTTTGTCACTAGATGACATTCTCCCACAAATACAATGTCACTGTAAGAACCTAAGCCCTTACCAGGAATTAGGCTGCATACTAATTAAAAGAACATTTTTTGATTCTGTAGCCTTAGACAAAAATATTATTAAACTGATACTTATTAGGGCATAAACATATGCTTAACAGAACAAAGGAAATAGACTATTTACTGTAATTCCTAGTCCCATAGGGCGATTTTCTAGAAGAAAATCTTGTTTACCTGTGTAACAGTCATATACCAACTGGAAAGTGAGTCCATTGAACAATGTGTCTTTTTCTGGGTGACCTGAACACTTTCTCCTTCTTTGGGTTTTGTATCTACAGAGCAGTCCATTAACTGTGAGAGCAACTTCTGTAAAAAATGTTTCATATCTGCAGAATATAAAAAGAAAAGTCTTATCTCCTCTTAAGACAAAAGTCCTTGAAACTTCTTGAACAATTTATATTACATTAGTTGGGTAGAATGTATTTTTCTATTATTTATCATCAATATAATTAAAGTAACATTTAACACGCTCTTAAGGCTCATTAATAACCTATCCTTAATATTTAAATTTCATTAGCTCATACTGACTAGGTCAAGTATTATCTATAATGAAAGCGTTAAAGGAAATGTAAACATGGAAACTATTAAGTAAATATTTTTGGTTTTGTTATTTTCAGACAGGGTCTTGCTATGCAGCCCAGGTCCCTCCAACTCACAGTGAACCTCTTGAGTGCTGAGATTATAGGCATATGCCACTGTGCCTGGCCATATTTTTAGAGATATGTACTTAAATTACAGTAGACAACAAAAGGACTTCAAGGTCCCTAAAAAATGCATCCAAAATGCTGTTTACATGAATTATCTTACTGATTATAATCTCCATTATCAGTTTCAAAGATGTTTTAGAGCTTTTACTTCATTCCAATCAGTTTATGAATATGAAATATAAACACATAAATGCTTGGTATCAGTCCAAATCCAAACAAATGATACTAATACTAATTCTACATTCTTAATGCTTTGAAGGCTTCAGACACTCAAGATTGGCTCTATCAGCTATTTTTTCCACTGCAGACTTTGAAAGTAAAATAAGATGGCTCATGGCTGCAAATATGAACCCAGAGAGATTAATCTTTGTTTGGTTAAACAATAAATCACTATTCTCCAATTCTCAGCTTCCTATTTCAAATCTTTGTACACACTAAAGTTTCACTGGGTTAGAATCGCATCATGCATAATGCATGACTATTCCTGGCAGTGAAGCTAATACAGTATGTGGCAGGAATGTGACCCGAACAAAGGAAGCAAAATTTAGCAATAGTCAAGATTATTCTGGGGGTCACTAAACCTCACCCTGCCAAATAAGTAGCACTGTGCTCTTGTTACAAATAAAAAGGGACTAAGCTGAGAGACAGAGAGGGAAAGACAGAGAGACTGACAAGAGAGACTAAGGATCAGCATTACTCTGTAACATTTTACCAATGTAATAAAAGCACTTATATTTTACCTGGACAATCTTTAGCTTGCAAAGAGACTACATATGGTGTGATAATATTCTGAAGGGCCTCTGTTAGACTTCTGAATATTAAATCATGATCTGTGACATTCACACCTAGGAAATAATACATCAATATTACATCATTATTTTTACTAGTAATTTTTAAAAAATATTTAACATATCAAGTTAACAACTAAGTAAAAAAAATATAGATATAGATATAGATATAGATATATAGGTATAAGGTCTTGCTATGCAGTTTGGACTTATAGTGATCCTCCTGCCTAAGTCTCCCAAGTACTGGGATGAGGCAAGCACGACCACACCTGGTTCCTGGGCTGACATGACATGTGATATTGCGGAGTAAAAACATTCTTAAAAATATGATTTGTAACAGAAATCTAGATAATATATTGCATAAACGAGAGCTATCCATTAATAACATTATCTAAAGATACATGCTACACTGATGCTATGGGTTAGATCCTGAATGGCCTGTGTTTAAGGCTCAGTCTACTGCTTATGTCATCTACGGAAAAGAGGATCCTTTAGAAGGAGGGACCTAACAGAAGTTAGACCACTGGGAGGATACCCCTGAGGGACCATAGGGAACTTGGGAAGTTCATCTTTCTTTGCTCCCTGGCTGCTACAAGGCAACTAGTTTGCCTTCACCATGCGCTCTGCCATAATATACTGCCTCAGAATGAGCCCAAAACCAACAAGTCAACTGACCAAGGGCTAAAATTTTCATGAGCAAAGATGTTTCCTCCTTATAAACTGATTATGAGCATTGTGTCACAGTCTCAAAAAACTAACACAATTGATGTGTCTATAAAGACATTTAACATAATTCTTTAACAAAATTACTAAAGACATATACCCAACCTTTAAAAAAATTAGGAGTAATTTTATTACTTTGCCAATTTTATAGAATTCTTTAGTCATTCCAATATAAGGGTTTTCTATAGAATCTAGCATTATTCTTGCCCTGATTTAATAACAGGACAATCCAACCATAATATTATTTTTAATAATCTTAGTATGAAGTAGTTAAAATGTATATTAAGCTGACTTCAACAAGAGCAAATTTGAAATGATAAAGTTCTGGTATTTATCAAAGTATTCATTTTCATTTCCACAAATCAGTTTCAGTACTACTCTGCATACAGTTAATCTGAGTTGGGCAGAAATTTCCTCACTACTTTGGGAGTAATGTTGTTAACTGATACTTTCCCTCACATAACAATCTATGACTTCTAGAACCTCTTTGGCACTTAGGATGTATCGGCCGTCCATACATATCCTCAAACTGCTTAAGACTTTTTGTTGTAAAACTTCCATTACTTGGAAAAATATACAAATTTAAGAATCTTTCATGCCAGCAGTAAGTATTCCCTTCTTCCAGGAAAGAAAAAAACTAAAAAAGTATCAGATCACTTTTTTTCTTGGGTTTTTATATTTCTTTTTATTATCAGACTATTTTTCTAAAGTTCATGAACCTTTCTGAAAATAGAAGACATGCAATTGTGCTCACATGTGGGACAAAATATTTTCATGAGCTCATACTATTTCTAGCATTCATCATAATATATGACTGCAATAATTAATTCTTTAAAAAACTTTGAGAGTTCAGTAGAACATTGGCTTATCTTTCAAAATCGGACTTCATAGAAGTTATTTAATACTATGTTTCTTTTCATCTTTTTTTTTTTTTTTTTTAAGTGAGACACAGTCTCACTACACAGCTCAGCTTGCTCTTGAACTTGTGGCAATCCTCCTGCCTTAGCCTCATGAGTGCTGGGATTACGTGTGTAGACCACTGTCAGGAAATATTATATTTCTTAAAACAATACACTTGTCTATTGCAAAGAAGATAACCAACAATGTCCTTTGCTGGAAAAAATTATTAGGCCATAATTTTGAAAAATGTTTAGGCAAGAGGCAGAGCAGGGCTTTAAACCCCTCAGAACTACCTATCTTCTCGATTGTGCCTCCTCAACCCTACCTCCACCTACTGTAACCTAGCAGCAGAAGAACAAAGCACCCAACAGTGCAAGTGGGCTCTCTATAAAGTGGAAACAGGTCTTAAAAATTATATTTTTATAGGCTGCCTTGGAAATTGGCCCAAAGCATAAAAATCCCTCCGCTGAGTCTTGTGAGTCAGGGTGATTCTGGCCATCAGCAGGAAGGCTGTGAGAACTGCAAGATTCAGGCTTCACCCTATACCCACTAGCAAAACCACATTAAAGTTTGAGAAGTACTGTCCTGAATATAAGGAGTAAGAAGTAAGAACAGATTAGAAATGGTATTAAGCAAGAGAATTTATCTCAGAGTCTACTAGGAAAACAAACTCTAAATAAATAACAAATTGGAAGTGAAATGAAAAGTGTGTTTGGAATCCAAATAAATTCTGTAGTTTTTCAAAAGGAATGAAAGAAATCTGCAGGGATAAGGGCATGTAGCTCAGTGACAGACAACATATTCAGTCTGCTTATAGCTTTGAGAGTCCCTAGTATCCCCCCACCTGCAAAAAAGGTGAAGGGAGAAAAAAAGAAATTTGCTAATATTCCAGAGACTTTTTTTGTATACAATTCATCTAAACACTTTCCTAGCAATATTAATAAAGCAATCTCAAATTTAAAAAGCTAAGCAGAAGGAAATAAAATTAATGTTACAGATTAATTCCATTAAAGATACGGTTTTTCAAAAAGGTACAAACTTTACTAACACATTGGTGATTTCTTTACTGCCCAACCCAAATCTCCAACACTGCCATAACATATACAAGGAAGAAAGAATAAAACAATTACAATTCCTTTTTTTTTTTTTTTTTTTTTGTATTTTAGGGAAGGGTTTACAGGGTATTCAGGGTCTCACTACTAGATCAGACTCATAGTGATCTGCCTGTTTATACGTCTCCCAAGAGCTGGGATCACAGGCATGCACCACCACACCCAGTCTCAATTGCTGTCTCAATCTGCCCTGTAGGCTGGGCTGGTAGGCAGGCCCCAGGGATTGAACCCCACCTGTGCCCCTGGGCATGCTTGCAGGCGCTTTAATTTGCTAAGCTATTTGGCTGGCCCTACAACTAAAATTTCTAACAAAAAGTTGAATAGAACACAGACTGAAACACTTCCTTTTAATTTGAATTTGTATGAATCGGTATAATGAACTTTTACTGGTTTTAAAGCATGTAAACTAGTTTAATTCGACAAATAAGACACAAAAACAGAGCTTTATCTGAACAAGTTATTCCACTATTCTCAACAATAAAAACCAATTAAAAATGCATGCATGAATAAACACATCCATACATACCAAGGACAAGAGCAGCTGTTGGAATTTCCTTAAGTTTTATTTGACAGGCCCAGTCCTCTGAATTTTTCTGGAACCCAGAATGAGACTTTTGCAAAAATTCAATCAGATTGTTGAACAGAGTTTTATTTAATTCCTCCTGTAGTCGCTGTAAAGCACAATATAATTTATGAATTACAAACATCAGTAGCAGTCTGATGTCTTTCCCAGTGTAAGGAAGTTAAAAATTTTGCTTTTCCCCTGAATATCCAATAATTTTCATCTATGAAATGAACTGGCAAGTTATTAAGAGGGGGAAAAACACATACATATGTTTAACATCAAACGAACCATACACAAAATATTAGACTCAAAGAAAAGGCAAGATGGGTGAAGCCTTCACATCATTCTGGGTTAGAGAAACAAATAGGGGTTTGGGGGTAGTGGGGTAAAGAGGACAGGGTGAGGGCAGTGGCAACAACATACATTACAGAACGGAGGTAGGAACATGTACTAAACAAAGGAAGCCAGCATGGAGAGCTTAGCAAGACTATCTAAAAATAAATTTCAACAGGTCAGGGATGTCGCCCTGTGTTAGAATGCTTGCCTAGCTTGTGCAAGGTCCTGGTCCAGCACAATAGGAGAAGAAGAAAAAAAAAGGCTATACATAGCAATCTCTTCTCATGCTACCCTGACTCTTTCTTATGAAAGAGGAAAATAGGGGATATGAGATAGAGAAACTTTTGCCTTAGTAAACAACTGCTATTTACTAATGTGGACACAGGTAAAGTTCTTTTTGTAAATAGGCCATCTGGAAGAATATTTTGGGATAACCTTTTTTTATCTCCCTCGTTGGTTTTGGAAAAAAAAATTGTTATGGATTCAATCCAAAGAATACATGTAAGATGATTAAAAGATGAATAAAATACAAAACAAGTTTTTCCTATTAATCTCTGGTAAGTAGTGCTTTGTGTTTCCCCATTAAAAATTCTCATTAGGTAAGACTGATGAGGTGAGAAAGAGCACCAGGGAGAAAAGTAAAGAAACAGGGAAGGCACAATGGGGCGGAAAACAATCCAAGCATGTAAAGCGCATGTGTGTATCAAAAACCAATATGAAATCCTTATTCTGTACTACTAATATGTCCCAATTAAAAGTCCTCTCATTTATTCATTTAACATATATTCATCAACTTAGGAATTCCAGTCTATACCCTAAAAAATTAATCACACAACTTACTATTTTAATTAAAATACAAGGCAGTAAAGAAGCCAACAGTAGGGCCATCTAACCTAAGCACATAATGGATTTGAACCAAGCCATTAAAATGATATGGGTGACAGGCACCAAAGGTAAGTCAGAGGAGCTGGGGAGGTAGAGAATAAAAGCACCACACATCTGGAGAATTACAGATACAGGTAAGGCTAAGAAAACCTGAGAAATGGTAGGAATGAGGCTGGACAAGTACGTAAAAGTTTAGGCCAGAAAAAATATATATATGGTGCTAGAGTTCAGATATTTTCTTGTGGGGAGAGCCGCTGAAGGGATGTAGAGGAGATGTGATGAAATCCGGGTTAAGAAGGGTTGATCTGGCAGCTCTGTGAGGGCTGGATTAAAGGATCAGCAAGGCTTTACTGGCAAAGGGATATAGAAAGACTTATGGGACATAATGTAGGCAGTCTGAAGAAGGAAGTTTATAGCTATGATAGTCCACATCAAAAAAAAAAGAAAAAAAAAAAAAGAGCTCAAACAAATAACCTAATGATATACCTCAAGATCACAGAAAAACAAGAACAATGCAAACCCAAAGATATTAAAAGAACAGAAGATCAGGGCAGAAATCAATGGAAAACTGAATATATACATATTAAATAAATCAAAGAGTTGGTTCTTTCAAAGAGTACACAAAACAGACAAACCAATCTTATCAAAATAAAGGAAAAGACATAATACCATGCAACTAAAAATGTAAAAGGTGAACTCACAGTGGAGTCTGCTGAAAATAAACTATCCGTGCTAACTACTTGAGAACCTACCCTAATAAAACGGAATGGTCAGAAAAACTGAATAAATGCCTAGATACTTACTAACTACCAAAGCTGAAACAAAAAAATGTAAAAACCCCAACAATTCAGCATCAGTTACGCTGAAGAAATTTAAAAAGCAAACAAGGGGCCAGCCAGATAGCTCAGCAGACTAAAGCACCTGCTTAGGCAGGTGCAGGGATAGGATTCGATCCCCAGTGTGCCTTGCCAGCCCCAACCCGGGCTCCCTGAGATGGCCTACTGAGACTGGGTGTGGTGATGCGCCCCAGTAACCCCAGCACTTGGGAGGCTGAAACAGGAGGATCACTAGAGTCTGATCTGTGCAGTGGGACCCTGCAGACCCTGCACTACATACAGAAAACAAAACCAAACCAAGAAAAGCCCAGGTCTTGATGGACTCACTGCTGAATTCTTAAAAGAACTGCAGAGAACTAATGCTAATACTCAAAACTCCTTAATGAAATCAAAACAGGAGTACTCCTAAAGTCATTCTTAGAAGCAAGCATTAGCCAGATTCCAAAACTAGAGAAGGATCAAACCAAGAAAGAACTATAGGCCAATCTCTTTAACGAACATAGATCTAAAGATTGTCCCTAAAATACTGGCTTACAGAATGTAGCAAGTCATCTAAAAGATCATATACCTCCACCAAGGAGAATTCATTCCTTCAAGGGATGAAGGGATGATTCAATGCGTGCAAATCAATTAATGTAGCATGTCACATAAACAGAATCAAGGACCAAAACCACATGATTATTTCAATAGAAGCATAAAAGCATTTGACAAAATACAACACTCATTCATGACAAAAATACTAAAGAAAATACAGAAGACCTTTACCCCCAGTCTGATAAAAGCCATCTTACACAAATGGAAAGAAGCCTAAAATTTTCCTTCTAAAATCAAGAGCAAAGATGTCTGCTACCCTCAGTAAAGTTCTCAAAACATTAGCCAGAGCAATTGAGATAAGAGAAAGAAATAAAAGGAATATGGCTAGGAAAGAAAGAGGTTAAATTATCATTTGCAGACGACACAATCCTCATAGAAGACTCCAAAAACTCTACTAAAAGACTCCTGGAATTAATAACCAAACTTAGTAGCACAGCTGGATACAAATTCAACACTCGAACATCAATAGTCATCTTGCACACCAATAACAAACCCATGGAGAGAGGGAAACAACATTTTTCACAATACCAGTAAGAAAAATGAAATACTTAGCAATTAACCTAACCAAGGAAACAGAAGACCACTGTAGTACTCTGAAAACGCTGATCGAAGAAACAAAACAATATTCCCTATTCCTCAATAGGCAGAATCACTATAGTAAAAAATGCTATATAGTACTTCCAAAACAGTAATACAGAGCTAAGGCAATCCCAATTAATATACTACTCCGCATAGAACTAGTGAAGGCAATCCTAAAATTCATATGGAGCCAAATGAGACCTAGAAGCAAAAGTAATTCTAGGTAACAATGGCTATCACAATCCTATACCTCAAGTATAACTATACTACAAAGCTATTATGATAAAAACAGAATATTGACAAAAACATTAATAACCACCACCCCCCAGACTGTGGGAACAATGGAACTTAACAGAAACAACTCCAGGCACACTCAGTTATCTTAACTTTGACAAAGGGGCAAATACTTTTTCTAAAGGAAAGACATTCTCATTAAAAAATGGTGCTGGGGGCCTGGGAGATGGCTCAGTGGAATAAGCGCTTCTCTGGCAAGTGTAAGGGCCTGAGTTCAATCCCCGGTTCCGCAAAAAACAAAAACAAAAACAAAACAGAATTCCTTCATTGGCCAAGCAATGGTCGTGACTCATCCACATGGCTGACACTGACAAAGACTCTACTATCTGAGGTACAGGATCTCAGGATAAATCCTGAGGGGATTTCACTGACCTTATCAGACCCAAAAGCTACAACTCTTGTTGCATAGGTCCTG